CGGAGAGGTGGTGCTCTGTGCTGGCTCGGCACTCACCCCTCGGGGCTTCATCCCCAGCCACAAACCTGACCCATATAGACCTCACCTGGTTTGGGAGGTAAACATGACCATCACGATTGTTGAGGTTATGGGGCGGGAGGGGGAAACAAACAAACAAACAAACGAAAACAACAGCTAAATCAAAAGAAGTCCTGCAGCAGAATCTGCTTCTTAAGGTAACGAGATTCCCGAAGGCGGAGAACTGCCAAACAGATACCTAGTGGGAATTATAACTATTCGCAGGATAACAGAAATTGGAAACACGCTATGGAGCATGTTTTCTGATACCAATAACGGCGGCCAGCCTTCCCGAAAGCCTGGCGGAGGCGAAGCCCCAGGATCGCCGTCCGGCAACCGCTTTTTTTTTCCTCGCTCTCCGCTGTTAAACCCCCTTCTTACGTTAGCACGCCGCAAAGTAATCCCCGCTCCTCTCCTCTCAAGCCAATTTGGCACCAACTTGTTTGCTTAGCCTCACAGAGCAGCATTGTGTGCTTTTTAAATGTAATCTCTCCTTTTAAAGGGAAGGTGCCAATTTATGAAAGCCGAGTGGACTGCGGAGCGCGGCCCGATCCGGCACGCCAGCGGCACCCTGGATTGCCGGGTTACTCCGTGCCAGATGTACCAACAGCAAGGAATTTAGGGATCGGGCCTGAAGGAGGCAAAGGGGTTTGGGGCTGCAGCTATTTCTTTCAAATTCATATGAAAGAGAAAGCAAATCGGTCAAGTTTACGCTAGTACTGATCTGACGCTCTGTGCCTATTTACAGCTTGAAGTCATTTTTCTTAAGGTTTCTTCCCTCTCTCTTTTTCTCACTGAAAGCCAGGTTATTATGGTTTCTTTAAAACTGTAACATGCCCTTTTGTTGGAACAGTTACCAATGCAGGACTATCTACGATTTAGGAAAAAAAAAAAAACGACTAAAAACCTTGAAGCAAACTAATTGATGTTATGCTAGAAGCCCGCAGGACGTCAAAATGAGACTCTTATCCGAAAGACAGCACGCCGTTCATTTCAGCCCTTCAGATATCCCGCGCAATTCTATTTTATCAGATCCATTTGGGTAAACGCGAAAATAGACGTCTACCACCTCCATTGCTTTGTCAGCAGATCTCTAAGCGATAGTTTTACCTAGACCCGTCTTTACTCGCAATGATTTTGCAGCTAAATCAAGATCGATATTCTGATCTCTGACAAAAATTTTATTAATATTTTATTTGAAAATCTCATCTTGTTTCCGACAAGTCTTGGTTTGAGGTTGCTTCAGTTTGGATAGGGCGTCACCACATTATTTCTTAATGACTTTCCCAGCTGCTTCTTTCCATTTTCTACCATCAACAACCATCTGGTATCTTATTAGCACCTCAATGCTCATTTAGTGTTCTCATTTAGGAGAAAAAAGAAGTAAACATTCAAAATATTACACATTATAACGGACTGTCTTTGGAAGGTTAATGCTTTTATAAACCGATACATTCTCTCTGCCAGTCTCTTTTCAACCAACAGATCGTAATCTTAGAACTTTCTTCTGGGAAGTGCAATAGCTGCCATTTTTCTGCTAAGATTTTACTTATTCTCATAGGAAAGATGTTTCACAGTCATATTTCCTCAGTATTTATTTTAAAAGTAAATGCTTACAAATAATCCCAGTCTATTATTTTTTTCGACTTTGATCAGAATGGAAGATGGAAGACAAAAGATCTTGATTCAATTTAGGAACTGGTTTAGAAAGTAAGGTTATACTCTAGGGAGCTGAGAGAAATCTTCTCTTTTTTTTTCTCTAAGAAACTATTGTATAACATATGGAAGTCTGTTCCCTTTATATTCGAAAAAAGGTTGTTACAGAACAGGTCTTATCTATCAGAATTTAAAAACTAACTTTAATTTTGCTAACCATAATCAGCTTCAATCAGTTATTTAAGTCTACATGTATGAAAAGGGAAATCGTAGTTTGGTTTCGGGAAAATAGCTCATTAAAAGCCTGGATTTAGTATTTTAAGGTTAGTTACCCAAAGACAAAAAAACCCTTGACTTTTAGGAAACAAATAATGTTTGAATAGATTTGTAATATGTTTAAGATCTGCAACAACAGAATACATATCTGAAGAGATCTCATAGTTTCATTTAGTTTATTAGACAAAAATATATGATTTAGACAAGTTTTGCTGACGCGCTATTTACATTCTGAAATCACTCTATATACAGAAAAAAACACAAACACATGGGAAACATTTACCAAACAAATAATCCAAGAATGGTTAGAATAACACGATCTGAAATGGTACAATGAAGAAGGGGATCCATCTACAGATTTGTGTAATCGCTTTTATGGATTTGCACCACCTTATTGCAAAAAGAGATTGATGGGAGTCGTTTATATCGTTTCCGTTTTTTTTTTCCTGTCCTTAATACCAGTCTTTGCAATTTTTTTTTTCACCAAACCATCTAATCAAGCAGAAGGGAGAGCTGTTAAAATTCGCGGTGTTCCCTCTTGCTGAGCCAAAGAGCTGCAGGGGGAAAGGGGGAAAAAAAGACGTAACAATCTTTCAGTAAAAAAAAGAATTTTTCCTATAATCGCCTGTCTATTGCTATAGCACCCTACTTTTAGTTAAATGCACAGAAATCATTTTCGCTAGTGTAATTCGCACAATATCTTTGGGGTTTGTTAAGTTTCAGAAAAGTTACAGGCTGGCTATGTACAACTGTAATTTAGCCTAACTTTGAAAAGATTATAGCAACTTTTATGTTACTCTTGTTGTTTGTATGTATTATTATGGTGATGATTAGGTGTTATAATTAGTTTTCATTATTCAAACACTGCGTTTCGCATAAGTAACATTCCTGCAGTGAAAACAAACAAACAAACTCACTTGTCACGGACAGCCTGGAAAGGCGATTTTAGCGGCTGAGGTGGGGATTCAGTTCTTGGTACATTTTCTCTTTCTAGAAGGAGAAAGAAAACAAAAAAAAAAGCAGGAGAATCTTTTTAGATTAACAATAAAAAAAATCTGTACAAAGTGCAGAGGACGCACCTCCCTCTCCTCCTCTTGTTCAGACAGTGTATGTACATGTGTATGTATGTATGTATAGCACTGTTACACGGTTGTACCCTTACTCCCAATACTTAAGCAGAACGCAAGTTTTCCTTGCCACAGTTTGGATTGTCTTTGAAATGGCTTGAAGATGAGGGCCAGGAAGGAAAGAAAGCAAAGCTCAGAGAACAAGTTGCACAGCGTTATTCTTGTGTTCTTAACTTATTTGACGGGCATACAGAGTGAGAATGTAATAGTCCACATGAAATGGACTTAAAGCATGCGATCAACACGCCGGAGGAGAAACTGAACACTAGGGTAAACTCTCTAACTCCATTAAGAGCAATCGGTTACACCAGGGCTGAATCTGACACCATCCCTCAAGGAGAAGTTTGTGTGTTCAT